TTCCGAAAGCGGGCATTATCTACAAAAGTCTGTTTCGTATCTGGGACAAGCCAATTGATGACTAGTTCTGCTCTTCTGTTCGCAACGTCCCGGTCTCTAGTATCCAACCAGAACAAGCCGAGGTCGGAGACTTCTGATGTTGGGTAATCGCAATATTTGGCATAGTCCCTCATTTGTACTACCTGAACCAACCAGCCTTGGTATTCTTTCTTGCTGAACAAATCCTCAAACAGGGTTGAGATTTCTTCTTGTCGATTCCCAGCCTTTTCGGGATTTGCACGCGTTAGATGCGATGGCAGGAATTTCTCAGCATAAGATCTGATGAACCTTTGTCTCACGACTCTGGAGAAATCGGGCTTGTGTCTGTCTCGGAGAGCGTGGAGAAGGACGTATAGGAAGTTAGCCTCGGTTTGATCGACATTGACATGGATGGGCCCAGACTCCTGAGATGTCCTGAAGAATTCGTAAAAGGAGCTATGTCTAAGTATCACAAAGTCTTCTTCAAAGTCGCGTTCGTCCTTGCTAGCCCGGATCAGAAAAAGGGATGAGTATAAGTTACGAATATCATCCTCAAGATTCAAGACCTCCTCTTTCAACATGATCTCTAAAATGTTATGGAGCTGCTGCACCGTCAGTGGCTTTTGCGCCAAAGCCATGAAGGAGAGCACGATATTGAGCTGGTCAATCTGAGTTGTGACTGTTTCCCCGGCTGATTTCTCGCCACCATCCGCTTCATCCAATACCGACAACTCCTTACTGAGCCGCTGCAGTTCTTGACTCAGCATTGCGCTGATTCCACGCGGCATGGTCCTGACCACCTTTCGGATCTGCTCCTTGGTCCGGCAGCGCAGGACAGATTTGATGACGAGATTAGCCCATTCCCAGAGGCCTTCGGCTTCCTGGCTGATCTCCTTGACGATGTCCTCTTGGAAGTCCGGACAGCCTCGAAACAATTTAGACTTTTTTAATTTCTGATAGACGTAGTCGTGAAGATCGTCCTTGTTCTCGTCGTTCCCAATTTCAATATCCGGAATCCAGCCGAGGGAGTGCTCCTCGAGCAGGCCGCGCACCGAGTCCCTACTCAGAATTATAATCCGCAAGGGTGGTCTTTTGTCCGTATCATCTTCTTCTAACAAAGCCTTCCCCATTAGGCTGCAAAAGACTTCTTGTTCCTCCGGTTCAGCTTCAACAAGGCCATCAATGACAAAACACGTGGCGTGTGAAGGAACCTGGGTGAAGTACTTAAGCAAGAGCTTCCTCCACACGGCATAGGTATTTCCTGGGTCTTCCTTCAGGCAGAACTCCTCCACATGCGTTGCGAAGCTCGATCGCTGTGTGGCAACTTGCCATGCCAGGGTGCGCAGACCTTTATTGAGAGAGCGTAGGTCGACATCGTTGTTCCTGCAGAAGAAAAAGGCGACCACGGGAGCAGCGGTGTCAGAGAGCTCTCCGTTCGAAAGCTGGGTGATGATTTTTGACGCGATATGGGACTTACCCACCCCAGGACCCCCATGAAGCCAAAGGAGAGGCGCTGTTCCTTCCCACCAAGTCCGAAGCGTGTTGTCTATGCAGCTCCCCGACCCCGGTATGCGATTCTCGTTGATGGAATAGAAAACCTGGCTCGACGCAGACACAGGATCCAGGGCTTCCTTCACCCTCTCTAGTTCCTCCCGGTCCTTCCTGCGGTCGTCTCTCTCAAGCAACTTCTCCGTGTTTCTTAGTGCCTGATGAGTTATTTTGAGCCCGTGAGCCGACACCATCATATGCTCCTGACTCGTCAACTCCTCCAGCTCACCCAGCAGAGAATTAACCGATGTATCCTCGATAAGTATATTCTTCGCCCACTTCGAAAGCCTCGCCCGCAGCGACCCCGGATTCACCACCTTCTGCGACGCCGCACAAACCCTTAAAAAATTCACCAACACCTTCACAATGATCGTCTTCATCCCCTCACTAAGCGGAACCCCCTTGTACGAATCCAGCCGCAGCGCAAAATGGCCGAGTTTACGAAACAACTCCGTGATCATATCAAAGGCCTCACTGACTTTCCGTGCGCCGCGCACAAGAATTAACATGGCCCCCATGATGGAGGACGCCGGGGGGAACGCCGCAGAAGCAACGCCCGCGATGAGATCGCCCCAGTTCTCGAATGGTGCTAGAACAGTCTGCATTGCGTGCAAAAGGGGTCGTCTCTTCATTCGAAAGTCTTCGAAATTGTCCTTCTCCGATTCCAGCTGGCGAGAGAGGTCTTCAGGACCGCGGAGCGCGGGGAGCTCAACGTCAGTTAACGGAATCCCGGTCTCCGCGGCATAGTCGTCGCAGGCAGCATGCCAGAGTGAAGAGAGTTTGTCGTCAGAAGATTTATCTGTAAACACAGCCATGGTGATGAGCGAGCCTCGCAGTCTTTGGGAAGGGGAAAAAAGTGCGTTTTTGTCCTTGTCGTGGGATGCCCCGCTGCTACCCCTCAGTTTTGCTTCAGCTTTGCGCTGCTCAGCCTCGCGAAGCTCTTCCATTTCGGGAATAGCTGGCGCATCGTCTGTGCATCTGCATACAAGGGTCTCATGGTTGCCTTTAATTAAAGGGTGTTTTTATAATATCCAATACGGAAATAGAAAGAGACAAGCTCAGCCAAGAATCTGTAGCCGGGGATGAACGATTCGAGCAACGCCTCGGCTGGCAGCATATTGGATGTCAGGCTAGGTGAGCTCATTTTGGATGGTCAAAGGATAAACATCAGAGGCGGCAGGGCGCAGAGAACTCAACCTCCGTGGACATACAGTGTCCTGCGTAGCCTGGGCTGTTTTCTGCTCGGCGTATTCAAAAGTTCGCTGTTGGGCGCCATTGCTAGCATATCAGGTGTACATGCTCTCGAGATGCTCTGGCCTGCTGAATTCCTTCAAGGAATTTCTCGTTCGACTTTTGCCGCATTTTCCAGGTGATTATAGCTCATCCGTTCGCCATCGACCGTAGCCAGTGCATGTGCAATGGAAGTTAGGTTCCTGATCTGGTCCATGCCGTTAGTAGACGTATTTATCTGCGTTAAACGGTACATTACCTCTCGTCCTTTTGAATCAAGGGACTCTATGCGCCGGAGGTCATCGCCTTTGATAATGCTAGGCCCCCCAGGGGTATGGGTTCTGGAGAGGAAATGGGCCCAGATCTCTCGGCGACTTTCGGTAGCCAGGTCCTCATGTTTGATTTTAAGATGGATGCGGCTCAGAATCGCGTCATCAAACTCAATGGCCCGGTTCGAAATAAGGAAAAGAATGCCCGCATAGTATTCCGGTTTCCGAAGAAAAACGGTCAGAAGGCGGTTATGCGCATCAAGATAGGAGGTACGCTGTTCCATGAATGCTCTGCCTCATCCAAGAGGAGGACTGCATTGAAGTGCTTTGCGACTTTGAATATTGTATTGAGCTGGCGCTCCAGCACATGGAAGTCCCCATGATCGATGACTAGTTCACTAGCAGATATCTGGACTTCTTTAGTAGCTAGTAAACTTCGAAACTGAGCGCCTAATACTACTGCTTACTTCCCTTATTAATGAAGAGTCAGATGAAGGCATTTGGATTAAGATTGTTGCTCTTCTTGTCGAGTCCACTCCTCCATTCTTGACCAAGCGCCATTTCTCCATACCACAAGTAGCTTTGTGAATTCCTCCGAACAGCAAAATCACATAGACGCCGTGCTAATAGAAGAACTTGGGTGAATCTATGTCAGTGTGCAGGGCTTCTATGATGCATACTTCGGGGGCATCGAAGGGCTGGAAGAAGCAGGATCGACTATATCTTGAAGGTGCCAGGAGACAAAATAACCCCTTGTCAATGAAACTGGATGCCGAGATTGGCCTCAGAGTACCAGGGGGAGGGAAGTCTTAGATTGGCTTTCTAGTTGGGTCCACAATCTTCGGGACATAGCCGCTGAAGAAGAATTTACCGAAACATCTCAGCGTACGGTTTTGGCACAGCCTCATCGACCATTGGCAGGGTCTGCCGCTGACTGCAAGCTGGATATCGGCATCGTTTGCGATTCGCACGTGACAGGTCCAAAATCTCATTAGTTGCAGATTCTGGTTCCAAGGGGTGCTGAAGAGTAACCCAAAAACATGGCGAGATCTGGGACGCTATGCAAGAGAGGTTCTCACTACCCAAGACACTCAGCGATTTGCCCTGGGCTTTACTCTGTGTGGGTTAATTACGCGACTGTGGGAGTTTGATCGCGCGGGAGCCGTCACGTCGTCTCCCTTCAATATCCATGAGGATGGGCTCCGGTTTGTCTCAGCCATGCTGGGATTTCTTCTGATGAATGATACATAGTTAGGATATGACCCCACCATCATGTGCACATCGGATTGGAGGAAATCCATCAACATTACACGCAACGGACAGCCGGAGCGTCTTATGTTCGACGGACCCGTCAAGCGGGTCCCATATGTTGCTGGCAGAGCCACAACCTGCTGGAAAGCCCACCATGAAGGGGACAAGACTAATGCGCGGCTTGTCATCAAAGACTTGGAGCAGTATCTAAAGCGAGGTGAGGAAGGTAAACTTCTCACTGAGGCGACAGAGAAAGATGTGGTAAACACTGTAAGGTATTACTATCATAAAATGGTGCAAGTAGGTGGAAAAGTCGATGATATCTGTAACAACGTTCGCAAAGGACTCGTCCAATGTTTCGCTGCGCTCTAGAGCTTCTTGGAAAGGTGCCAATCCGGCTCTAGTCACCTGGGCCCACAATTCTACTTCCAGCCCGTGTAGAAACGTTGATTCTTTATGCCAGGCGTTCAACCCAGACATTCAAAAATACTCCTACTAATGTGCGCTAGGAAAGCCTTGAACGAACCAGGAATCATAGGTGGAAAGAAGATGGACACCTTAATACAGCTCCTGCGACTGACTGGAATTTCGTAGATCCATACAATGCCTAGCCGATCTATTGCAGGATGGGGTATATAAGTCATAAGACTAAGTGCCTTGGTGTCTTCGAGCAGACTTATGACTGGCATTGAGAAAGTCTAGAGAGAGTCCCTTCTGCGAAAAGATCGTCTCGGAACGATGCGCGCCTTTCTGACAACAGCACTATAGAGCCAGTTACAGGCTGCTCAGAAGCACTGCTAAATGGCAGCTTACCACAGGAGCGCGCTCCACTCTCCACTTGCGAATATGGAAGAGAGCAGTTCCAGAAAGGTATAGTTTAGATCATCTATATATCAGGCGGATGTTACTAATGTTACGTGTGTCTCGTCCAAGTGTCTCCCGGGTGATATACTGAAGAAAGCCCTGATGGGTGGTTACAGCTGATTATCCGGATGGTTGACCTTGGCAAAGAGGCTGAATATATGACCAGCCTTGAACGCCGACAACGTATTTACTACTACCCGGGGAAGCTTCATGGTGGAATGCAGGCATTTTACTTGGACAACCTTTTCGCTGATAGCTGCCGCCGGGGAGCCTTAAGTGTTGAAATAAATTCTGGTTTGAGTAGAGGGACAATGCCTTTTCCCGCAGGAGATTACTGTCCGATGCAACATAGAAACATCTCCTGCACTTTCTGCTTTCTGTACGTACAGTAAGAGGTGGACCGAAAACCAACCTAGGCTTTACTTTGTATATACAGTACAGCTTCCTTGTATCCACCAGTAATGCTGTAACAATCAACTTTCCTCTAAACCAAGCTGTCTGTTGTGGTTTGGCTATGCCCTGACATTTCCTAGTTATAATAACCTAGCCAAGCACTCTTGGATAATACTCTAAGTAGTACCTTTTCTTTGCAATCTATCTTGTAGTCTGTAATATGACCCTATATAGTGATACTTATCCTAACCTACACTGCGAGTACTGTCTAATTTGTGGATATGCTAATTTGGATATGTTGCGCATGTTTCCCCAGCCTATCCAGAAGAAAAGAATATTACAACATAGCCCCCACCCCAACCTCACCTCCCCACAATCCCTTCTCAATCCCAGCGATCAGCGAATTCCTCAACCTCTGCAGGTGGCCTAAACATGGAACTTTCCTTTTCCGGGGTCTATGGAAAGGACTGAGGACCACCAGGAATATGACCACGTTGGCATGATCCTAGTGTGGATTGTATGGTAGAAAGGTTTCTGCATCCAGAAGCTATTGGCGACCCAAGGACACTTTCATCATCCATCTTTAGTTTGGTGCGGAAGAGAAAGAGGGCGGTCTCATTCTAGTAAGGCTGGCGAGCTCGTCTTACATTTTCCTATTTGATAAACTAAAGTACTAACCGCGTACATCTTTGGATATAAGCAAGAGCTGGGATTGATGCTGTGAGTTTAGCATGTACAATTCAGTCACTTTCTCTCAAACTCTAGACAATGTCACGATTTCTACCGAAAGAACTATATGTCATTATCCATCCTTTCTCCCCAACCTAACTCAGTCGCGACTGTTTGTGGCCCGACCTAAGGACCTGCGCGATTGCCATTGCCACATAGTCAATGTTCTTCCTATTCAACCCACAGATACTCGCCCGGCCCGAGGGCAGGAGATAAATGTGGAACTCCCTCTTCAGGCAATCAACCTGGTCTTAATCTATGCTAAGATAGCTAAACATACCAATCTAACTCTTGATAAATGACCAATCCCCCCGGGCCCTGTTCTCTTCTAGTTTCTTTCAGAGCTCGCGCCGCATAGTCTTTATCCTCAAGCTCATAGTCTCCAAGTCCCGCTCCCATTGTGCCCGCAGTGTTGCATCCGCTAGGACCGTCTCCACTAGACTGGCCCCGAAGCGCGACGGATTGGAATACTTGGCGCGGGCAAGGGCGACTAGTTTCGAGCGGGCGCCCTGCGCTGAGAGATGCTAGGGTACGACAAGATGAAGAGCGCCCACGCGCTCGCCGTACAGCCCAAAGTTTTTGGAGAAGGACTGGGCTACGCACAGACCAGGGTGCTCCAGCGGGCCATTCAGAATCAGCTGCTCGACAAAATAGCGCACTGACCACGCATCGCCGTCAATGTCGCCGGTGGCAAAGCCCTGGTAGGCAATATCAAAAACCACAAACAGCTTCTTCCGCTTCACGACATCCATCATTCGCGCCCACTGTGCCTGCGAGAGGTCCACCCCTGTCGGGTTATGCGCGCACGCCTGCAAAATCACCACGTCGCGGGCCTCAGCGGTGTTCTCCAGCACAGCGAGCATGCCTGCCAGATCAACGGCTCGCGTCTGTGGTGCATAGTATGGATAATCGTGAACCTGCACCTCAGCCATCGCCCAGATGGTTCTGTGGTTGATCCATGTTGGCGACGGAATAAAGACCCGGGCCGGGCGCAGATGCTGGGATAGGAACTGGGCGGCCATGTGGTTGGCGCCTGTCCCCGAGACTGTCTGTATGGAGGCGATACTTTGGTATTTGAGTCTCGCGGTAATTTTGGATCCGAAGGTGAGTAATTGAGCCTGTTCTATTAAGACCGGGGAGCCTGCTATGCCCAGGTATTCATGAGTTTGATCTTGGTGGATATGAGCTTTGGCCTGTATTTCAGTGGCTTAGTTAAGCTTAAGAAGAGACTAGAGCTGCTCGAACCTCTTTCACACTTAGAAGCACCCATGGTCGTCCGTCTTCGTCGCGGTATGCCCCCGGGATTAGGGAGACTTTGTTTGGGTGCGAATCTGCATCATATTCAGCCATCAACCCGAAGGCCTTATCTGCAGGAGCAACCGGCAGGTTCAAGTATTGTTCGCCCATTGTTTAAGGCGTTTGGAGTTGTCGGTAAAGAGGAGAGTTGTTGGTAAACAGAAAACCAAAAGGTTGAAATGATGTCCATGATCAACTTATCAGCACGATTTTTATAAAGGGCCACGACAGGGTTCCAAATGGGTTCCAGTAAATTATCACCGGTTTTGAGCTTGTGAGGAGTCGGCACACGCACCTTTTTTCCCGTGACCCTAACCGGCATTCTGAGCTTTCCCGAGGCCCCCCTCGCTGAATGGTTTCTGTTGAAATCAATAGTACTAGTTCAATTCGCCAACTACTAGTAATTTATATGGCCAATTGAAAACCAATGAAGGTCTGATTCTTCTAAACGAATGACTATCTAGCTACTATTTATGCCTTCCACTAGAGGCAGGGGTTCGGCTTATTAATGAACGAATATATGCCGAATATTGGGCGAATACCGCCGAATATTATCGCCAAGGGACGGCTCGGTGGAATCAAATCACTTCCAAATCGGGCAAGCGGTCATATAATTCAATATTACCTAATATGGCCGCGCCTTGCGGACCTGGCTTGGGAGACACTCCGTTCGCCCAGTTAAATGCAGGAAGGGTGCGATGCAATTAGTGGGACAATGCTCATAGTGAGGATTGACGAAATAAGGGATACAGAGAAAATGCCCACTTTATTGCTGACTGAAAGCTAGTTTTATTCCAATGTCCAAATAAAATAGACCAATCCATAAAATGTGCACAAAGAGCGTCCATTGATATAGATCTAACCATCATTATGAGTGGATGGTTCAACAGGATTCTCAACCCCTCCATCAGCAGTCCACCATGCAGCAGGTTGGAGAGTATATTGATAAGTAGTATTGATTCCAACTGTGATCCATGCAAGTATACCATCACTAACTTCGTCTCCAAGATAGAGGTAATTAGCGACTGGGTCAGTGGTGGCGGCTTCATCAATTAATGTATTATCATCAGCATTCGGCAAGATTGCATTTTGGTTGAGGGTATATGGGTAGACGGTATCAGCTTCATAGATGAGGTCCTGGTCAAAGAAAATTTGACCAACATGACTGATGTCACTGTATGTAAGAGTATTGTTTGGAAGTAATGTAGCATTTTGGTGAACTACAAAGTGGGTATGTGTGGCTCGTGGAGCGTAGTGACCTGGGAAAAGGAGTTCAACTTGGACCACACCGTTGCCATCAGTTGGTTGAATGGCACGCAAGAAGGTATTGTTAAGGTTGGGCAAGTCGTTCGGGTTGCCATTGCCATTGCCCACGGTACCGCTGTATACTCCCTGGACATGTTCTTTCAGAATTATTCGGAAAAACGCAGCAGTATGTGGTTGAGATGCGCTTACTGTTTGATTGGCTTCCCAAAACTCAACATACTGGTTGGGTACAGGCTCACATGTCTCAATATCAATGAATTGGACATCCATCAACATGGTGATCCCGATTAAGTCTTCAACGCCGCTGTAGCGGACTAGCTCTCCCTCAACATCTGAACACCTGAGTTAGCGTTATTCTTCTTTTTAAGACCAACTCTAGAGTACGTGAACTCACAGTAAGGACCTTCAGCAAGAGGAACTTCTGGCATGAGAATACATGAAGACGAGTCTGTAAAGAAGGAATCCGGATCCGTCACAGAGGTAGCATTAGGATAACCTAAAGTGCGGTTATGGTCCGTTGCAAGTACACTGGTAATCTCGTTTCGCCTTGCTGATAACTGAGGCGTGGGTATTAGATTAGCATTTCTATCTTAGTCACATTGATAGATGATGTAAAGGTCTTACCATCTGAAACGATACCACGAGCTTTACGTGCTTCCTCAAAGAAAGAACGGCGACGATCTACCGATCTCTTAGTATGACCTCGAGCTTCCAGATGTGCAGCACAGCGCTTCTGTAAGTGTGGAGTGCTAGCAAGGAATGCGCGACGCTCGGCAGCCTCCTTTATAGGGTCTTCTCCTGGGTGAGTTGCAGCCAAACCGATCAAAAGGGCCAAAGATGCCCATATTAGTAGCAGTAGAGTGCGCATCGTGCGTGTTTGTAGATAAAAAATGAAGTCTCTGACAACAGTAACAAAATATATGGGGTTTAGAATCCTGAATTCAAGTTTGTGGATGAGAGGAAAGCAGAATCAGCGCATTGGAAGGTGGTCAGGATCCCTTTATGTACCTACTCATCAGGATCAGCGCTAGGAGATTTGAAGGGAGATACAATAAATTACACATTCCACTTTGAATTATCGAATATTCAAATACTTCACAAATTACCACACTATCAATTGGGCCTCGTTTTGGTCGAGCGGTATATCTTCGGGTTCTTGGTAACAATGTATCAAATAGCCAATATCATGTCGAACGAGCCAAAGCTTCTCAAAGCAAGAATGAATACATGCGTAAGCACTTACGCGGTGTGGCATACTTATGTAGTTCTTTGATATCAGTCAAGGTTACGCGTAATCGAGAACACTATAGTAATGTGATAGTGAAACAGTAGAAACATTTCAACTTGGCCGTGAGAGGGGATCTTCACAGTAGGCTTGCGCGGCATGCATAACTAGTGTGTCTTGTCCTTTCCTTAAGCTGCAGTATTGTTGGTGGGCTGATTGGGATTTCCGTGATAGTTACTGTCGACATATAGGTCGAGACCTAAATTGGCAGTGGCAATGGTTCTCAGACTCAGATGAGACGGTTCGTCTTCTCTACGGATTTATTAGCTGGTGGTGCGAGATTCAGCGCGGTAAGAACGGGCGATATTGCCTGAGTATCAGATACAAAAGTTTGCTAGAGTCATTTTGGATGCGGTGGCATCTCGTCCTGAAGCAGGAGACAGCGACGGGGTTGAGTAAGGAGACAAAGGTGAAGGTGTAAGATGTGAGCAGATGGGATCTCTCCGCTCTGATCAAAGATGGGAGGACTGATCTTTGGCTACAGACATTACCATTGTGGCCGAGCAGAAAGGGCTTGGAGCTTACGCAGCGACCGAAGAAGATTACATATATTGAAGGTGTCGCTGAGTTGCACGGGCTCTTTGAACTACCACTAAGAAATGATGTTTCAGGGCAGCCAAGAGTGAGTACTTGCCCGAAAATCCATACCAAGGAGGCGACCATGCAGTGCATTTAAGATAGTCTGGGAAATATGGGTTTTTGGTATAGGAGGGATACAGGTAACCCTGTCAGAATTGATGGACGAATAAACATAGTTCCGTGCAGAATTGATTCAGAATAACGCTTCAGATAAAACTGCTGCTGCTCGCCCAAAGGGGCTTTCGATATTCTGCCAAATATAAGCATTCTCTATATAGGAGATAAATCAAGCTATTTAGAAGGTCCAGCCGGACGCAGAGGCCAGGCCGACAGTCTGAGACATGGCAATTCAGATTTGCTAACGCGGATGATGGGCATAGGAGGAGCACCCTAAATTTTCCGCTATTACAATTAGGGATTGGGTTGCATTAGCTAGAATCTGCTTCATTGTAGCACGCTAGATGCCAAAGGAAGGCTTGGAATGGCCAACTTGTCTATTAAGCTCACTAACCTATGGGTTTGCGGGTTAGGTCAGCCAGTCTAGCCATAAGTTAGGTGGGCCTGACATAGGAGAAAATGAAACCTAAAAACTATTGAAATTTTTAATATTGCCTAGGCATACTGCCCACCTAGATAGGCTAGTGACTGCCTATCTAGGCCTAGTGGCGGGTTTTATGATTAAACTTAAACCAAATTAGAATGGATCAGGTTTGGTTCTGATTTCTAAAATTTAGACTCGAAACCGCAATGGTTCGGTCCTAAGACTCCCAACCTAGGTTGGAGTTGGACTGGCCCGAGAACCGAACTCAGACCAAATGCAACTCTATGTGGAGCCCCTCAAGACAAGAAGACTGGTAAAGCCATTTAGATAAAGCCATGGAATAAACTTCTATAGGAGAAGATTTAACAATGGATTCGACACCTTATTGGCCATAATCCATATCCAGGAGATTATCAAGCTACGAGGAGGGAATGAATACTAAGAGGGGCGAGATTGGCCTAAGCATAACCAGTTAGGAAGACAGGTAACAGGTTAAGGGACAGCTATCTAGACATAAAGATCCAAACTAGGAAGATATTTGAATATCTTCATATCACTATGATAGACAGATGCATTTGGATATTTTTCCTCCTGGACCTGTTACCATACAAATTACTAAGGGGCTGCGTCAGCAGGATAAAGCCAAGCTTACTAGTGTGGGTCAACACTTTTGGTGCATGCTGCTGGGGTTTTGGTACGTTACGAAGGCGGGCCCCATTTTGCGGGATTGTGGGAGACTGTTGTGGACTTGGTGGGTAGTAATATGGAGGGAGAACAACCATCAAAAAGAACATTGAGGTATATTTAGTTGTCTGCTGTATTAAAGCGCTTTGGGTCTATGACATAATGGTTGGAAATCTGCAGTTCACGGAAATATTTCCAATCTTGCTGAATACAACATGATTGGGTTTTGACGGCTCATAGATATCCAATAGTGTTGTAGCGTTCCAGTCTCCAATCTAACATTATTATTGATTCAAAGCTTCAGTGCGACGTCGAGCAACGGAACTATAGTCACTTGCAGCCCACAGTGGGCTGGATCCATATCATGGTTGCTGGAATGCTGGATACCACCCCAAGCGGAATGTCGAGGTGTCATTCATGCCTTTCCTCCAGACGGTGACCCTGATTCATCTAAGACACCCACTGCAGATGGACTGTCCAAGAGCTAGGGTTATCCTTGGAATAAGATCAATAAGTTTCACTCCAAGCCAAAACCAATTTCACCACATCCGCATGCCCGTTCATCAACCCACATCCACCATGGGCAGTAACGATCCACTCCTCCGCATGCCCCAGATCTGTCTGGAGACATCGAGAAAAGCCGGCATGCCATCTCCAGCAACCAGCGCATCTTATGAAGATAGGAAGCGCAGCGAGATTGCCTTTTCCTCGGCCTTCGTCCGCTATTTAGGAGGAGAGCACGTACTCCCATACTTTTTGAAGTCCATGTGCCCGCACCCAGTTCTGGTTCCCAATACATTCATGGCATCACTGAAGGAGTTTCATGTGGCACTTTCGGCTGCCTTGACGAATATTGTGCAAAGATGGGTTGTGGATGAAAAGGCGGACTTACCATCGCGGATGCCGCTGGAAAGACAGGAGGAGGACTTGCTAAAGGTAGGATCCTTGCTTTGTTTTTGTTTATCCGTTGGTGTCACTGTCAATGACGATTGTGGAATAGTGGATACACGAAATCACCGAAGATGAATTATTCCCTGCGTATGACGGTCATCAAGGCAATTGGCGACCCGACTTCTTACTTCCAGCCAACGAAGCAGACGGGTTCAAGGTCTGCGAAATCAATGCTCGGTTCCCGTCTAACGGCTTGGACTTGAACGCGCGGGTGTATAAGGCCTTAGCCAACTCGGAAACCAAGCCCCCTGATCTTGATGTGGCAGGAGACCCGGGCCGCATGATGGCCAGTCTTAAAGCTCTTTTTCATCCAGGATGGCCTCTTCGATTTGTCCACAATCGAGAGAACAATCCGTTGATCGAGGCCTTGATGAGAGATCTAGGGGATATGAAGCCGCGCCTACTGACGCCTGATGATCTACATCTTGTGGCTGACGAGACTTCACCGACTGGGTATAAACTCCAGTGCGTGAGAGAGTCAGCCTCGCCTGCCGACGATCAAGATGGTAACTTGGAGGATGTTCACCAGATAGCGCTCCGGCTTTTTCTTGACGAGTTCGCCTCACTTAGTCCCGAGATGCAGCGGCAATTGGCGTTCCACAGCAACAATGACATCCGGTCCATACTTTTGATCCACGACAAGCGAATCCTAGGGATCCTGCACCAGGAGTTAAACGATCTAGTCTCCAAACACCATGTCTTGACCCAAAGGCAGGCTGACCTGCTCCGGAAGCGAGTCGTCTCCACCATCATACCTGGGTCAAAAGAGCTAGAACAACTCACTGACTCGTATTATCGAGGCAATGTATCCAAGGACGACTTCATTTTGAAACCCATTCGGTCAGGTCGGGGAGAAGGAATTGTCCTCGGCCAAGAACTGAGCACTTTCGAGTGGGAGGCGATCCTCGCCGACATGAAGAACGCCGCGCTGACCCCTTATCGCACGGTGTACATAATCCAGCCATTGGTGGAACAGGCTGAAGGGGATATGTTCTTAGATGAGGAAATTGGGGTCCAGCGAACTCGTCGAGTGGGCACGTACCACAGCATGCATGGAGAGTTTGTGTCATTAGGGGTGTGGAGAGTTGGGCTCTCGACTAATCGAACCACCAATATGACCACGGGCGATGCTTGGAAAATGGGTAGTATGGTGATGAAGATGAACTAGATAGATTCCTCCTGTAGGGGCGAGGTGATAGTTACTATCATTCCTTATTCAGCTCAGTTTATCAAACAACGAGGACAGTGTTTAGGTAGCCCAAACCATATTTAGCTGCGTGACTTGCAAAACCATATCAAAAGCTCTTTGTAGCAGGCAACATCTGAACTAAATTAATAAAGTAAACTTTTTTCTGGTCAGCTTATGTGACAATCAAATCACCAGCAGGATAATTATTGTTATAGAAACTAATGCAGGTTGTGTAACACCAAAGATCCAAGCAAGTCTGCCCACTGCAGATGGCATCCCCTTTTTTCTAATTCCATGAGTTTGTCTGATGGACAATCATCTCAGCTTTAAAAATGGCTATGGATATTGCATGACATGGCGTTCTTTGTTCAATTATTTCTGGTGCGTGACTTGGCAATGACGGTCATTGCTTCGGATTTCCTTCTCCGTCCACAATCATGACTAGAATCTATTTACCTCGGATGTAGTTTTCACACATGAATGGTCACATCACGAACAGGTCCATTTTGCCAGGAATACCCCTGATCTCAGAATCCCCGCCTGCCATGCACTGTCTCTGCCAACCAGCGTAGGGTGTGGGAGACGATCCCCGAATCGATCGTTCTTGGGGTATCGGCCTGCATGTCCTGTTCTCGTGTTGTTGCGCAGAGCATATGCTTGTCTTCCCTGGGCGAGAGGAGTAAGTTAATTCTGTCTCTTGTCGAATTCTAGGATCCTCAGACAGAGTCCCGGAGCTATTAGTGATAGGAATCTCTCCAGTTGACGACCCATAGAGTATTATGATTGACGCCGAGAATAAAAGATGTTATCGGTTAAGCATGATGGAAGCATCTCTTCGCATCCACCTTCCTCTGGTGAAGCTGTGAAGCAGGCGCTGTTTGCCTCGGTAAAACAATATTCTAAGGGAGTTGCGTATTGTCTTGCTCTGCAAGCGGGATTCTGCTATACGGTTGACTCGTCATTATGGGCAATGTCTCGTCGACGCCTGAATTCCAGTACGCGTTCAGCTCCAGCCATTACCCTAAGCTGGTTCAAACATCACAGGCAGGACTTTATTCGCAAACTCAACGGCAGCCTGATCATTTCCTCTCTTTGGCTTGGACTCTGGAACGTCCGCAACCCCATCGGCGGAGCCTTCGGTGCCCTCCTCAGAGGTCTGTCTTCATGGGGAAATTCAATGCTGGGCTCTGTAATCGAAATGATCATGTGCACAACACAGACATACATATTTGAGGTCCTAATACTACAACTGTGTGAGATTTTAAGAGGTTGGATGTAATTTTGATTACAGTCTGCAAGAGGAGGTGTGATTTTAATCGGTGGGTCACTGCCATAATTTATTTTATATTTTTTGGCTGTAGATAATCTATCCGACCACAAGCTTAATCTGCTGTGATTTTACCCAGTATCTACCTTGAAGTATATGAAATTTACTTTTTCTCACCGACTATCGCAATTGAACCCAGATAACGCTGGATGCAATTCTAGTAGTGGGCCTATAGAATATCTATCTTACAGCGCAAGCCAAAAATCAAGCAAGCCTTTCTCGGGCCTCCCTGTAAAATATGTGGAAATTTACAGCAGTACACTCACTACATCCCGCAGCCTTGGCCATCAGGTTGAGGTATCACGGCCTTGAAGTGTGTCAATTTATTTGGAATACAAAGGTGTCCAGTTCGCTAGGGTCTCCAACTCGGTTGGGAATTACGTTAACGTAATGGTAAGTGAGCGGCCACTGTAACGTTTCGACCGCAATTCGCTATTATGAAGCATTTCAACCCATCAGTGAATGCCAGGGAACTTAAAAACCCGAGTTTACCTATTAGGATTGGCTATGCTAGTAGGTTTTACTAGGGGATCAATATGCTACTTAGGCAATGTAGCTTTTCCTACCATACTATCTAAACTGCTAAGGTCACCTAATTATATCCTGGATAAACCCCTGCTGAGCTGCCCTTTAAAACTTAGTACCTAGTAGTATATTAAATTGTATAGATTATATTCAACATTCTCTAAATTCCACCTTAGCACTCTTAGTGAGTATATAGTTGTTCTGTCGGGTTGTCTTATGCGGAATGGGTTTTTGGAGCCTGTTTACCGAATCCGGAGTAGCGATGCATTTCCTGATTTTTTTTTACGACATCAACGACAATGTTCAATAGAGGCCTAGATGTGCTACTTCATTAATACGCAGTCACCCTCTGTTCCGTTATCAGCTTTGGTTGAGGAAAATTTAAACATCCAGCTGAGGACCCAATGCTATAGTTATGGTTACCGCAATGTAACCTCCACCCACCAGGGACGTCAATTTCAAAAGTCAGTGTATTCAGATGCTTGAAAATGGCTGTTTGGTAGGGACTTGGACTTTGTGGGGAAATTACAGCAAAGAGACTCCCATACTGGTCTTACCCCAAGCTTCGATCAAAATCAACTGAGGGGCAATGGACATAAAAGCATTGATTTTCGCCGTATGACTTGACCCATCCTTGACAACAGTTTCCTTAGGGCTATACACATATCTTCTATCACCCTTAAAACGCACGTCGGTTAAATACAATCATATGTTACATCTTCACTCATTTACCGCCATACCATAAAAATGGGCAGCATTTACCAGGCGCCTCAACATCTGCAAATTTGCTGGTTAGCCACAGACAATGCAGGACAGCCGTTGTCGGTGATGCTGGCCAAAGACGAAGATCGACATCGCAATAGAAAAGACTATCAGGAGATATTCCAATCAACGCCACAGCCTGGATGCGATTATATCCAGGAGACCCTTTCGCCTCATCCAATATTAACCGACCGAAGTTTTGTTCTGCGGTTGGAAATTTTCCACGAGGCTCTAGTTAGAGCTGTGGTGAATATCGTGGAAAGATGGTGGGAAGATAGTACTGCCAACTTTCCAGCCAGAATGCCTTTGGAGCATCCTGTGGAGACAGTTTTACAGGTCAGTAATGTCAAATCTTGCCCCTGTCAGGGCACTGGATGACAGGCGATGCAGTGGATTGATGAGCAGAGCCGTATGGAGCTACTGCCTGCATTTAGAGACTGCCTTGGCATTTGGAGGCCAGATTTCTTGTTGACAGGTGGCAGCAGCGGTGCGGTTGGATTCCAACTCTGTGAGATAAACAGCCGTGTACCACTCAACGCGCTCATCCACAGCGCATACAAAAACGACATCATGCGGCAACTATTGGGAGCCGAATCGAACCTAAAACCAGCTGGTGACTTCAATGAGATGGTGAGCAGTCTGGTCGGCCTTTTCGACGCTAGGTTGCCAATCCATATTGTAAGGGGAAGGGACGCACTGGACAGACAAGAGTTTGTCCACTTAGTCGAGAAGAAGACTGGCTTAAGGCCAAGGTTTGTTGGGTTAGCGGACCTGCAGTTGAGGTCGGATCCTTCTTCTGCGACAGGTAGATCCCTTTATTGCAAACGTCCGGCTAGTAGGGAAGAAGGAGAAGGACTAGAGAAGGTCAAGCAGGTGGCTCTATTGCTCTTCCCTGATGAGTACTGTTTCCTGGCACAAGACTTGCTCCAACACCTAGCACCAATAGCGGTACATGATTTTCGTACTAGCCTACTGGTCAATGACGATCGGTTCCTAGGCATTGTGTTACAGGAACTCGAGGACCTTGTAATCACCCACAAAGCCCTCACTCCCGACCAGGCTATGCTCCTCAAGGATGGCATCGTGCCTACCATACTACCAGGATCTCCGGAGTTTGAGCAATGGATCGACCTTAGCACTCGAGCGGAGGTTACGAAGAACGATTATATTCTCAAGGCAGCCCGTCAAAGTCGGGGGATGGGTCATTTACTTGGAGAAGAAGTCTGTGAAGAGAAATGGAAGGTGATCATGTCGAGGATGCGTGATCCAGGTATTCACACAGACACGACATGCTTTGTACTGCAGCCTTACATACAACAGCCCACCTTTGATATTGTTGCGAATGACGATAAAGTCGAGAACGGTTTTCATATGGTTGGTACATATTATACAGCTAATGGTCGCTTTCTTGGTCTGGGCCCTTGGCGCGCAGGAAGGGCAAAAATCTGCAATGTCCATGGTAGCGGATGTGTGGGGCTATATTCTGTTACTCAGGCAGACACGGATTAGGAACATATCCTCAAGAAATACATAAGAAGCTGCTTGCATGCGACTGCGTTTCTACGCCACGGGCAGTCGCATCAGTCGACTGTGACCAAAGCTGGAGGGGCCGTGTTGGATCAGATCGCCAGAACGACAACGATTGATAATTGGGAGGAGAATTCGTCCATCTATTGCTTAAATCCGAATCTAACAGACACCTAGATATCGATTAGGTAGACATCCTCCCTTGGAAACCTGTATATTATCAGTCACACCCAGAGGAGGATCTATATCGATATGGTTCTCTTCAAGCAATTCAAGTACTTTCTGAGATGTCATACACGGTGCGGTATAGGGTCGATATAAATGAATAGTGAGAGGGAGAGAGAGATATGTATACATATCTTACGTACAGGAACCAACCAGCTATGAGATATAGGTAAAACCCTAACCCCCCTATCCGAGACATAAAGAAAGCTATGGACTTAATAGTGTTAGGATGTCATGACTGGCCTATCGCTAAGGAAGTTCTGCAGACGCAAAGCAGGATAAACAGCATCTTCATTATTCTGAATTGCGTGAGTGAGGTTTTGCTATAATGAAAAGAAGATAATGGATAACCACATCCCGATTCTTACAAGATTAGTAATTCCCTAACACAGGAAGTGATCATGTCAGTAACCCCCGGGTAATCCTCTGTCATGAGAAGTGAGGTGAAGTAGGGGCCGATGCGCGGTATGGAGACGGTCTGGGAAGCAATGGGAGTGATACAAGGGCGGTTTGTGTAGTATTCAATTCAGATGATATTTAAATGGCTGGCAATGGGAAAGTGCGTGACCATCCCAGTCTGTGCAGCTGGAGATCTTATGGGAAGTGGCAGTCACTTCAAGTCTTCTACTAGTAGTTAATCATGCATCCGTTTTCAGAAACTGACGTCAAAATGTTAAAGCTAGTGATGCTTGCAACGTTGCATTGAAGAGCAAAAATAGTGGTATTTCTTCATAATAATATATGAACACATCAATGAAGTCAGGCCTTGTCTTTCAGTGACTTTCCATCTACCCCTCTGCGCTCACAGACCCGAACATGGCACCCCCTTCTGCAGACGCATACCCCATCCCCCAAGACGATAGATATCCTAGCAAATCTATCTCCGCGAGCAGGCTTCCAGGTCCCCTCAAATATTCCGGAAGCCTGGATGAATACGAATCATTTGATCTGACTGCCGCCATTGGCCGGGAGTTCTCGACGCTGCAACTGAGCGAGATCTTACACGACGATGCCAAGATCCGAGATTTGGGCATCATAGGTCCGGATTTCTATTGTGATGAAAGTAAAATCTAGATACTAACATACAAGTAGTCTCCCAGCGTGGCGTGGTGTTCCTGCGCAACCAGAACTTGAGTATCGCTGACCAGAAGAACCTGGCGATCAAGATCGGGCAGCTGACAGGCAGACCCGAGGCATCTTATCTTCATAAACACCCCCTCTCTAACGGCAAACGTGGGCTTGCAGTGGACAAGGACGGGAAACTCGACGATGAGGTGACCATTATGTCTTCTGAGCAGAATAAGAAGATGTATAGGGGTCGTTGTGGTCCTGGTACGAAGCGATTGGCTAGTGAGGGATGGCATTCGGAGTAAGTAGATCGTCTTACGGACCTGGCACAACCTCGTGATTTACAGAAGTGGCAGTATCACCTTTGAACCAGTGCCATCTGACTACGCCATCCTGAAAATCGTGACTCCTCCTGAGGACGTAGGAGGAGATACGCTCTGGGCGTCTGGATATGAAGCCTACGATCGACTTTCCCCAGCATGGAAGAAATTCGCCGAGGGTTTGACGGCCACCCATTACCAACCTGCGTTCAATGATGCCGTCAGAAACCAGGATATGGAACTTATCACAGAGAATCGCGGCAATCCGGAGAACAGCGGAGTGGAATTCAAAGCCTCCCAGTCAGTATTTCCACTTGCTTAAGTTCTTTTCTAGATTTCTTTCTGACCAAGGTTGATACAGTCCCGTTGTGCGCACAAACCCGGTTACTGGGTAAGTGCATAACAATATGAACTTCTTAAATTCGATGAACGAGAAATGCGCTGATAATCTGCAGATGGAAGAGTCTGTTTGCTGCTGGATTTCAGATCCGTGCAGGATGGATTGACAATGTGACAGATTATGAAAGTGAGATGCTGAAGTCTTACTGTATGATTCTCACAAGGCATTTATTAAGCAATGAATCAGCTAACCATGCTCTTTCCATTCAGTTCTGAAATTAATTTCTGAAAACCATGACCTTCAGGTGCGATTCCGCTGGAGCGAAAACGATGTCGCCATATGGGACAAGTATGTACGAACCCATGGAACCCCACATGAGCCAAATTTCTAACCTCTACTAGCCGCTGTGTGTTTCATACTGCAACATAGTAAGTAGCATATGGTGGGAAGAGCCATGTAAGAAGTTACTTCTGACAACGGTGACAGTGACTATAATGGTGCTCGAGTTGGAAACCGGGTCGTTTCTCTAGGAGAGAGACCATTCTACGACCCAAAATCCGTTTCCCGCAGGGAAGCACTTGGACTTGAGGTGTAGAAAACAGCATGGGCTCCGAATATTCAGCGAACTCTTGTTCCATCATCGATGTAACAGTGATATGGTGGTCTAGTTTAGCTTGCACGGGGCCAAGTCCAGCCTCCGGACTAGCATGTCGCTTCAGGTTAAATAAAAGTTTTTGGCATGTACCAATTCATCCAATAAGCCCGCCGAGTTTCTCCCATTTGAATCGGCTACGACGATCGCAGGCAGTGCAGTGGAACGGTCGCATCAGTTGAGGCCAAGAACGGAAAGTAAAGGCATCCGGATCCAGCCGCCGGAATGCAAATCCGTAGAAGTGCCAATCCCGACACCTTCTATTCTCTCTAGGCTCAATATTGTTCCAAATACCCTACTTCGATAAGAGTTACTAAAATGAGTACCCCATCTCCTATCACCCTCGATTATACCCTCCACGATCTCTACGCAGCCGATTCGGAAGATGGCCTGAATATCGTCCTGATCTACTACCCTTTACAGTTTGGGCACAACCATGAGGGTAAATCGGCCAAGTTTACCTACGGGTACAAAGTGGAAGAAGAGGATGAAGACGCAACGTCCTCCTTGACGATGGCCGCAAACCTGGTACCACAGCGATACGCGTTCTCAGCCGGCAGGATGCCTCTGGTCATTCTGGACATTATTGCACAAAGGAGATTAGACAGTGGAAGCGAAGGGGATCCTCAAGCTACGGATTCTGTGCCCGCCCATCATCTTGATATCTATCAAACGTTCGCCCAGCTACAGCCCGACCAGCGGCCAATCGTGAGTTTTGCAGAGAATCCGGACAGCATAGAGTTAGGCTTGGACGCGAGGATCGCCGTTCTACTGCCCACCGACTGCCTGTCGCATTTGCCACACCTTACCTGTCCGGAAACTCACTATGAGATTCTGTCAAAACGTGGGCTGGCTGTGTCTGGATTACCAACGCCGCCGTCTCGGGTCATTGACACCATGCTTGTCAACTACGAGGATCCCAGTCTACTTGCCATAGAGACTGCCCGGATGACGGGGCCAATTGAGCAACATCAGATCCCTTTCATGGTCAAATTACCCCAGTCGATTTCAGGGATGGGCACCTTTGCCGTGACCTCTGAAACCGACCGAACGCGGATAAAAGCCATGCTCACAACCCACTTAGGAGCCATGCTACGACAACTTAATCAAACGAACCGGCATCTGCATCCCTGCTCGTTGGTCTTGCAAGACTTTGTTGACGGACCGGTGGTGGCTCTATCATTGTTCGTCACGAAGACCGGCCATCCCATATTCATTGCGTGCTGTGAGCAACTATTCAATGACCACTCGCATTGGATCGGTGGGCGCATCTCATACCGGCAGCAGGCAGGGTTTCGAAAGACGTTTTGCGCGCTCATGGGCAAAGTGGCTACGTTCTTGCATCGCAAAGGGTATCATGGCCCGGCGGGCGTGGACATTGTCATCGATCAACGCAGCGGGGAGCAGTTGGTTATTGATCTGAATGTTCGGGTTACTGGCACTTTTCATCTAGGGCCTCTCATGGGCCATTTCACTCGGCGTGGGTTGTTCGAGGCTGCGATGACTAGCGGGCATTTGTTTTGTACGCGAGATGAATTCGAGGAAATGTTTTCGGAGGAAATTCGACAAGGCAGTCTGATTGTTAGTGGCTGGGTACATAATGAATCACGGTTAAAAAGCCATGCTGCGATTACTGTTGGAGCTAGAGATTATGATAGTTTGCAGGAGTACCTTGAGCGGGTTAGGGCTGTTGGTCTACAGAACTAGTTTGTGTGAATAGAACATTGCTCCTTTGATGCTTATCCGATTGCTGCTCCAAACCGGAGGTAAATGGCCCCTATTATATAGCTTCTATTACTATATTTCTAGCTGTGTTATTAAGACACTGGCTTCTGCGTCGCTTCAGGCATGATCGACCGCAGAAACTGTTCTAAACTCTCCACATCATCAATATCCGAAAGAAAAGCCAGATGCTGATCAGGTCGCAGTAACGCCATACACCCCTTGTCCCCAATACCAAAAGACGAGTACAGCTTCCCTCCGCCGGCATGATGGTAAGCTTCGCCATCAGCCCAAACCCTGCTATAGTCTACACCGTCTTTTGTCCAAGGACGGAAGACGATCGGCAGGTCGTTCAGCTCAATGCTAAGTCTATCCGCACAGTGAATGAGGTACACACCGAGAGCCGGAAACCCGCGCCGCGCCACCGAGGCCGGGTCATTCAACTTCTCAAAAACTGAATCCGGGGAATTGAGAGTATCTGCGAGGTCTTCGACGCGGCGCTTCTGATCCGCGCCCGCAATGTCACCTCCAAAAACGATCAGATTCCATTGTCCCGTACTGGGGAGGATCTGCTGCAGATGGCGTGCTTGCGAGTCGCTTTGGTTAATGATCAGCACGCTAGGAATGCGCGCGCCGACTCGGAGATTCCGGGCCACAGATGGTCTGCTGCTGCAAGACGCCACGTCTTTTAGCAAGGGCGCATCCCAAACTGTTGATGTGACGAGAGAATTAGGCTGATAGATCACAGCGAGTCCCGACATTGAGGAGTTCTCCTCCTCGAGCGCCCGCTTGTGGTCCTCGTCGAAGCGGCCATGTTGCATCTCTGGATGCCCGCTCCGCTGGCTACACATTCCTCGGCAGATTCGCTGGTCTAATGCAATCAGTCTTTCAGCAACGGGCAACCGTTCTTGTTGGTATGTCTCGAGGACACGAGGGTGCAATACACCCTTGATGACGGACGCGATTTTCCAGCCGAGATTAAACGTGTCTTGCATGCTGACGTTCATCCCTTGTCCTGCCTTCGGGGAATGCGTGTGGATAGCGTCTCCGGCAAGGAATATGCGGTTATGTAGACCAATCTTTCGGCAGATGCGTTGGCCGACCTGGTTGTTGTTAACTTGGGCGTTTCAGGTACAGCATCAAAGGAGCAAAGGAAGGGGTGAGCTGACGGTATATATGGTTGACCAGTCAATGTGACTTGTTCTCATGGTATACGGCTGCATGATAGTCGCGACCTGATCCGTGAGGACGTCGGCATTGCGATCTGCGCGATACGTGTCGGCTGCTTCGGGTGGAAGCTCGACATAGACGCGCACCAGCTTTCTCTCCCGTGGAATCATCATGAGAGTTCCATGTTTTGACTTGATAATGGAACGTTTTCGGATGTCGGCTGGACGACCAGCTTGGATTAGCAATGTCAACGGCGATAGTTCATCCGGCTGAGCTTACGAAAATCAGTCAAGGGGATAATATCCAGAACACCCCAAGAATCGTTGTAGCTTTCGCCCTCAAGTCTTAACCCGAGCTGCTTCCTGAGCCAGCTATGAGCTCCATCGCAGCCGAGAATATACTTGGCTTCAACCGTTGTCCCCATTCCTGCGTATCCGGAGTCATCCGATTGAGCCTCGCTGAGCTCGCTGCTGGGAGTAACCACGCCATCAAACGGAGACTTTGGGTCGGATGACACATTCTCCAGATTGACACGGATTGGAAACGCATCGTGGTCGTCGATCATCATGTAATCGATCTCGAACGAGGTGGGGATTGTTTCCCGCTTCACTTCAACGTGCTTTCCAGCCCGCACATATTCCATGAGATATTCTTCTATTTGACCTTGGCTGAGCGTGGACTCATGGAACCGGGACCATCCAGGCTTAGAATTCGCGGTGACACTCTGCCTTTGCAGCTTACCATCGGCTGTGGCGCCCTGGACACGACAGAGGTTGAGTCAGTGGAATTGCTATCGAAGACAACTTGGGAGGGCCGTACCCATAATGCAATCTCCACGGTGTGGTTTGCTTGAGCCCAGACTTTGTCCGCCAGGCCGAAACTATCCAGGATTTCTAGCGTTCGACTCTCCAGTCCGTCCGCTCGACCGCATCGCGTCTGATGCGACTTCTGATCAATAATTATGGTCTTTACTCCCATCTGGGCCATCCAGGCGGCGGCCATCAACCTTTTCACCGGCAATTAGTCCATGCCGTTATATATTTAGCTTCGGAAAAGAAGAAGGGATTTGATAGAGCAACATACCCGGACGGACCAGCCCCGACGATCAGGACGTCGGTCCGGACTGTATCGCCCATGGCGGCGTGATTGATATTAGGGAGATTTAGAGAATCAGAAAACGTAGGCACATGGTTTTGGCGAGCAACCGGAATGCAATTGAGTGAGTACATATTAGTGCAAAAGTTGCGGTCCGGAATATGGGACCCTATGATCCGGCTAGTCTGGTCTGCGTCATGATCAGACAAATTTTCGTTTTTGTCGCTCAATCGAGACTGTCAAACTTCCGCGTTCAGAAGCACTGTTGAGACATACCGGTTGGCGACGAAATGGTCTAGGGAAACCTAGGTAGTCGTGGATAAAATGGGTTGGGTGGGACGGCGTTACATTCGAAGCCCTAAGTTGATGGTGTCATGATTCAGGATCCGGGTGCAGAAGTATCTCCATACTTGTCCTCCCACTGCAAAGCTAGTTGTTGTTAATTATTTATTAGGGTTACGAATCTCATCATCTGCAAACTATTCTTTCAGACGTCAGCAATTTGTTTCTGGGAATCAAATACTGTGTTCTTAGTGTCCTTCCATTAACCACACACATATCCATTCATAATGGCTGCCCTAACCGCAAACACACCCATATCGCAGGGGTTCTACAAGCCTGAAGAAAATGTCTTCGTAAGGGACTCCCTACCAAGCTCAAATATACAGTCAATTAAATGTTCCGACTAGTGCAATGACGGCCGGGAAGACCAGCTCCTCCACTTCATAACCACTCATCCCCAACTATCCGCCATCCGCAACTCGCCGGAGGCTGTACTCGCCGCCGTCGACGAGTTCGCGCGCACCAAGGACTTTCTGATGAACGTGGGCCCATACAAAGGCGGCATAATCACCGACATTATTGCCACCGAGCGGCCCAGCTCCATTCTCGAAATCGGCGGCTACATCGGCTACTCGGCCATCATGTTCGGCAACGCAATGCGCAACACGGGCGTCCCGACCCCTCGCTACGTCAGTCTTGAAATGAACCCGAAGTTCGCATCTGTCTCGCGCGCCTTGGTTGAGGTTGCCGGTCTCGGTGACGTCGTTGAGATTCAGGAGGGTCCGTGTCGGACGTCTCTGCACCGCCTTGCGGCGGGCACCTCGAACCAGGGACCCAGCTCGAAGAAGTGGGATATTCTCTTCTTAGATCACTCGAAGATCTCGTATTTGAACGATCTGAAATTAGCCGAGGAGTTGGGAATCGTTGCGCCTGGGTCAATTGTCATTGCGGACGATATGAAGAGACCAGGCAATCCGATGTATTCGGATTATGTGAGGGCTGATACCGCGACGAAGACGGAGGCCTATATGCCGTTTGTGGGATGTCTGTCTGACGGAGGGATCTCGTTGGGAAATCCGTACTTGGTATACCAGACTATGCTGCTTGAAGGGTTGGAGCCGACAGGGCACATGGTGAGTTTTCATTACCCCCGTTTATTGCGATTTCGAAAAGCAGGCTGATGGAATGTAAGGATGCCGTCGAGATATCGCGGTGTGTGGGCTTGGTAGAAAAGAATTGAGCGCCTAGGACAAGACTTTTATAAAGGGTATTATAGTTTGGCATTTGGTTATCGTACACTTTAGTAGCAGCATTGGTACCAGCTAGCTCTGCAAAGGTGACAGCCACCTTGTTCAAATGTGCGGGCTGTAGTTGATATCATCCAACACCTCGATTTGTTCATCTACCCGTTCTTGGATGGCGACTTGCTTTGTCTATGTCAGATGTCTCTGTCCAAATATGCGAGACGTTATATTCTTCAAAACGCTCTACATGGCCCAGCCGATATATATGGAAGAGGAGTCCTAGTAACAGTGTCGTGCGTTGGAGTATATGGGTCCTATACTAATACAGGTGACTGTAAGTCTCCCTGAGCTCTGAAGTACACATCTACTCTGTAGTCTATATCCCTGTTTAGCAGAGTCCATATCCAATCTTAGAATACACATCCACTCGTATTGCTATCTGGGAGTCTATGTCTTAATGATATTCATTTCCTATCTACCAGCCCTCGTACTCTATACATATAATAATAGTAGAACTTAAAAATAAGAGTCCGTAGATTTAATTACATTTAATTACCCATAACATAATCTCATCCATATGGCTCACTTTAGCCCAAATGTTGTCAGCAAGCCCAAAGCTGTCTAAGATCTCTAATATCTATCTTTCCAGCGATGTAACTAGTATACATCCCTTGAGGCTGCACCAATAATAAGAACATATAAGCAAAGGTTGTCTCCCATGCTAGGCCTTTAGCTGCTAATGCAGATAGCTCAGTACCACTGTTCTTCACATGCCTATTACTCTACTTTTTGCGCATGGAATTTCTACCTTATGCGAATGTCATGTTTATTAGATAATCACTGCTTTCAGTTCTGTATTCAACATCACTATGCCACTCTTCCAGTGACTATGTTACAGTAGCATATACTAACATTCACCTTTATGACGCGATGATATTTTGAGTTTCCAGGGCCAGTTGGTAGGACAACATGGAACGGACCGTTGCGGCTGGGAACGGAAGGAACCCACCCGTTAATTCAAACATGCCAATGGATTATATCTCAAAAACACAGTGGGCAAGCACTAACGGGTTTAATATGCTTTCTATAGCGCCTTACATCATACCAAGTAAAGAGATGAGTACTACGAAGTGGTTTGCAATGTCCAGAAAGTGTGTAATGGAATGAGTATAATCATCGAAATGTATTACCAAGATAAAAACAAAAGACCTACAGCAGCATTAAATAACATATTTCTCAGCATTTACATTCTTGATGATTACAAATCCTCAGGCACCTTTGGCTTTCTTTGTCTGTTACGAATCTCCTCGCCCTTCCAGACCAGCAACAACAATGGTAACCAGGCCACAAAGTTGATAGCAACAAACGTGCCCCAGTCCGAATGGCAAGGCGCAAAAGCTAATAGCGAGTGCAAATATTTGACAGAATAGGTTGATGAGGATCGAAACCTTAGCCGCCTGGGGCTTGTAGCAATCAGAGCGGTAGGAGTAGGTCAGGGTCGTGCCTGCCTGCACCCTGATAGAGGCCACTACCATGCCAACTGCAGGACTAATCCATGGAGTGTGCCTGGACACACACATACTGCTGATGATCAACCCAATGGGCAAGATGAGACTGGCGAAAGCCAGATAGAGACGAGCTTCCAGCTTAAAATGTTCATTATGTTGCCTCACATATTAATTGATCAGCTAATCCAAGACCCATCCTGTGAAGCACTCGCCTCATGCATCTAAGAGTTAACAGTATCCCCAGGAGCATTCCATTCTGCGTCGTGTTTAACTAAACAGATCATCAGAGATACTCAAGGCCGTGAAAACAAAAAAGATTGCCCTGTAGGTATTAGTTGTCCTATAGTAGACACAAGGTATCACAACCGTATTTCAGCCGGCAGAACTTATCCAGAAACTCTGTTAGCCAGAGTGGCTGGTCTAGGACTTTGCCCTAAAAGGCCAGGCGCTGCTAGTAACTGTGATTTTTAAGATTGCTAAACTCCGTCCGCGAGAACTAACACAGTTCCAGGGAAGGAGATAAGAAAGATGGCAAGGATGGCGCCCAACATCATTGAATTAATCTATAGTCTGATCACTAGAGATAATGAAGTGCATTGAAGCTAGAGTAAGAAAGATGGTAAGAGACATATGAAGAAGATTCATTGTCATCCCAGGGTCCGTGCAATGAATCAATCGCCTGCTATAGGGCCAGAGTGTGTCTAAGTAGTTTTTCACTTGGCCAGCATCGAAAAAAGATATTAGCATGGTTGAGGAATGGGAACTTACCCTGTTTATCAAGGCTAGAGCATAGAAACTGATAAATTTCCCACATTCACCTTGGGATTACCATAGCTCTAGAAGCTGTTCGTTGACCACTTTGGAAGTTGTTCTTCAGACGGGGATGAGCAACTCATCCACCAACTCCATCCACTCAATCATCTTCTGTTCATACAGGTACTGCACCAGTGCCTCCAAGGTTTTGCGCCTCTCCTCTACCTATACAGCCAATAATCGCCCACAGATGTCTCCTGGATATATCCAATTCCTGACCCAACCAGGGTACCATACATTGTAACACAGTCTCCAATTCCATTCTCTTCTGGACCATCTCCATACTGTCGTCTAATGCCCGCAAGAGGGACGATGTCACAGACCGATTGGGTTCGTAGTTTTCTCGACGCAGGACAATTAGGTGCACGATGGGAAACACACCCAACAATTGAAAATCTTTTCAGCCTGTGTGTTAGATGAGTCGGGCAGAGGTGCACCTTGCAGGCCTTGCAATTCCAATTAGAAAGGCTAGCCTGCAATATCCATTGGACAATGATACCTCATTGCCGAATATTCATTTATATGGAGGCACCAAGGTTTTCTGACCTTTGCTCCTCCACGTGCTTGAGAGATCTGCTACTGCGAGTACTGCTAATGTGAAGAGTATGTGCTGGTTCGCGATCCCCACGGGACAACAGACCTCTACATGGTCGAATCATGTCCAGCCATTATATATATAGCCCAGAGCATTGGGTTATCTTTCCAATGCCCTACTGTATGGATCAGGTGGTGACATCTTCAGCCATGGCATGCACATGAGTTAAGGATTTCGTTGGGACGATGATGACCTTAAGATGACAAGGTGGCTACGGCCACTCTGTAGGAAAAGCATTCCTTAGGTATGGTAAAGCTTGGTGGTTCATTCATCCTAACTTTACGCATAGTTCCGTCCCACAACTGTCATTGAAAGGTATCAACTGTACAATGACCTACTTTTGAGTCATATGGTATATGTCATGAACTTGATAATATAAGTATCAAATGCTTGGATTAATTATGGAATACGCCCCAGTCTTAATGTAAGACGTTGTTGAATGATACACTACTGTAAACCCTCTTATTGATCTTGGCTTCAACCATGTCAGCCGGACAAAGACAGCCGAAGCCGCTTCGTCGCATCATAACAGCCCATGATCCTAAAAGCGGCAAAGCTGTCTTCAGCAGCGCAATTAGTGAACAGGTATCATTCTCTGGATTCCCTGTCCCCCCGGACAAGCCACCGGCGACAGACTATGTTCTGGCCTACAATACAAATGAATTCCCTGTGAAAGGGCTCTCGCCTCCAAGTTCTACAAACCCGGCCTCCAAAGCCGATCTCGACATCAAGCACTATCAGTCCCAGCTCTCGCAGCCGTCGCCTTTGCCTCCACCCAACGGCACATCCTGCACCGTTATCGAGGTACCACCGGGCTCAGCGGTCCCGATGCACCGAACAACAACTCTCGACTATGCTGTTATAATAGACGGCACTACAGAACTAGTTCTTGATTCCGGCGAGAAAAAAATATTGAAAAAGGGCGATGTAATTGTTCAGCGAGGCACCGCTCATTCCTGGCGGAATGTGACTGAAAAAAGTGACAATTCTGGTGTCTTGCGCATCTTCTTTGTGTTTCTGCCTATTGAAAAGGTGCAAGTGGAAAGCGGGCTCATTGATATGGACTTGACTCTGTCTCTGAAACAGACTTGAATGATGCAGCAGGGGTGTATCTTACTGCCAGTTATTCTGTCTCTGACTTTCGAAGACTTTGCATTTTTTCGAGGCCTATTGGCGGAGGTCACTCATTCTAATCACACTGTATTCTATAGGTTCTCATGATCATGCTTCCACCACTTCCTATAATCAATACCCAAACTATTATGCCAGTGTCTGTCTTAAGGGGTACCAACTTCTCTGAATTGGGCGGGCCCCGGAAGATAGGGTCCAAAAGAGTATGTAAGGAATGTAGTAGAGGATTACTGGTCCAGTAGCCACTATAATTACATTGCGTCAATTACAGGCAATGAAATCCTTTCCTCTTAGTATAAAGCATAATATAGGAAGAGTCATATGACTTTGGGCCTCCCCGCGGAGCTCTTGTCGGAGACGTCAGTTTCATTATGAGAAAGAGAAGAGCGAGATATTGTTGTCCGCTCCCTCAGTCAAGGATGACTGTTTTAACAATTCTGATTTTATTGCAATTACTTGAGTAGAAATATTTCCACAGCTGTGTGGTTTGAGCGTATGACTTTTCGGATGTGCAAACCCATGTGAAACATCCAGACTTGCTAGTATAATTTTCCTCAATGAAGTAAAACTCAAAGCACTGTTAGTGGGGGTGATCCTGGGGATGGAGATGCGGAAAATCTTGTCTGTATGAAAACCTTCTGCATACCCGGTTCGCGCTTATCAAATAAATCATATACTTTCTCCATGTCCTCGAGCTTGAACCTGTGGGTGACCATATCCAGGGGGTGGATCTTGTCCTCTTGAATATACCTCAACAGCTCTTTCCAGTATTTTTGCACAGGAGCTTGTCCATTGCCATGGAGCTTAATCCCACACTCCATTAAGGCGCCGATGTTGAAGTGATTACACTGCATTGTACCGTCAGTGGACTTGTTTCACCATAGAAAAGGTACCACGTACATAACCAGCATATACGCCTGTGATACCACAGTGTCCAAACCCACGGACAGACATAAGCATTTCATTGACCAGTTCAGATGTATCCGTTTCCATGCCGAGTAATTTCTGAAAGTAATGGGCCCAGCCTTTTTCATACTCACCAGCAGCGCACTCAATTGCCACATCAGGTCCGTGGCCATCGCACATTTTCTTTAGAGTCGAGGGGACTGATTCACCCTTTGGGAGGTTTGCAAAGTCAATTGTCTCCAGTTTGGGCAGAATTTTCTTGATAAAGTCTAGTCGCCATTTTCCCTGGCCGCCGTCAATGAGGATAACCCTCTTAGCACCATGGAAGAAGCTGTATTCAGCTGCCATTTGTCCAACTGGGCCAGCTCCCCAGATTGCCACAGTGTTGCCTTCCTTAACCCCAGTGTCGACAACAGCATTCCAAGACGTTCCCAAGACGTCAGAAAGATAGAGTCCTTTTTCATCAGGAACGTCATCAGGCAGATGAAGGAGGTTCACGTCACCATACGGGACGCGAACAAATTCTGACTGCCCACCGGCAAAGCCCCCTGTGAAGTGGGAGTATCCAAAGAAGCCTAAGACAGAGTTTAGTATAGCAGCCTCACCAAGATCACAATGGTTGTTTTAGGAAACCCACCGGATGTTCGTTGCCCGTACAGCTTAGTAGCACTCTCGCCTGTATTCGTCCGCTCACACATTGTGGACAGCCCCTGCTTGCAGTAATAACACTGCCCACAGGCAATTTGGAATGACGCCACGACGCGATCGCCCACTTTAACCTTCTGGACTCCTGGGCCCACGGTGACGACGATGCCGCAGAACTCATGGCCGAGGATATCACCTTTCTGCAGCTCTGGGATGGCCCCTGCATGTCGAAAATGGTAGCGTGTCAGCAGATCTAGCTTATTATCTCATGCAGAGTCATGACATACCGTGGTACAGGTGTAGATCACTCCCACAAATGGTGCTGCCTGTGACCTTAACTATGGCATCGCCTGGATCAATGATCTTCGGGGTGGCCGTCTCAACTATGACACGCGTTCGAATTATTTGAGATGCTTGAATTGCAATAAAGATTACTTACCAACTTTAACAGTACGGTTGCCTTGCCATGTCAAGGCTTTCATTGTTTGGCTTGGGTCGCCATATTTCTCCCCGTAATTGCTGACGTGTGCGGTGATCGAGGTGGACATTGTGTATTTCCACTAACTTCTGGTTTAGTCGCTTTCCTGCTTCCTTGTTTCGATAGTCAAGTTTGATCAGCTGAAGTCTGTGTGAAGATCGCAATGAGCGGACTGTATTAATTATCTTGTCTTAAGCGTCCCTGACACTATATCTACATCACCAGGTTTATATCTCGGCCAAACCTGAGCTAGGATGATGAATCCCACCTTGATGTCATGCGAATCATAAGCATTCGAAGATTTACCCGAGGCGCTTGGCCACAATTTGGTTCTAGACCGGTTAGCAGCGACTGAATAACCATTTGCTCATAAGAAGTTCTATTGAACGCATCATTACACTACTATCTCTTTGTCTGGATGCCTTCTTTGGTTGGCGGTCTTGGGCTTGACAAGTTCCTGAGCAATGGAATCTTATTCGACATGCCAAATAGCGGAATCGATGTCCCTATAGTAGATTTATTGTTATTTGCTTCGCAAGTCTGATCATTAACGGCTACTTTGAACCCCTATGAAGTTACAGCTAATTGAGTCTTGCGTACTCTGATGATGTAGTTAAGTATGAGCCTAGACCATTAGCAATCTCCCATTTGCGGCCAATCCGTCATTGTGACAAATCTTAACCATCACAACTTGTCGCACCCAAATCTCCGGTCATTATGTTTTACTGCCTATTTAAATGACCATAGTTGATAAGGGATGGGTCGATTTCCAATCTGGCGAACTGAGACCTCGGCCCGTTCGAGTCTGTGTGTTTTGAGACAGCGAAGAGAGACAAGTAGAGGACATCAACAATGTCTAAAGAAGAAAGAAACTGGCTATTCTGTATGATGGCCCGTAGATAGATATACGCATGTATCCCAGTACTTTTTTTCGTTGTCCTCGGGGACCTTCCCACCCCAGTTAAGCCTTATTTTAGCTTATTCAATAGGTAATATAGTGCAGATCACCGGGATGGCAGTCATCTTAGGCCAGTCAGTACAGCCAAACATGTCATCATTGCACATACAACCTTCCTCCACACCGAGAAAATGGTCTATCCTGGAACCACTGCAGTGTATGCCACGATGATCAGTGCAGTCAGAGCCACCAATGAAGGCTGCTCGACATAGTTCACAGCTTTTAAAGGTCAATGCAGGTTCTCAGCGCTGGCCATAAACCCACCGGCATCTACGAAGGTGCAATCGGAACCCTAGATGGAACTCTTCTGATCTCAGAGTCCACGGCGGGTTATATTGTGTAAGAACAACCAAATGCCTCGTTGGACCTTTGAACCATCGACAAAATCTCCACGAGAGTCGGGTCCTACACCGGAGGTGAAGCGCCCCGGGGCTGTGCTCTTCGTCATCGACCACGCTGCCCGCTCATTTCCATCGGAAGAGGTACCCCTAGCCTTCGGAGATGGGACCAATAAAACCGTAGGACGGATTCTCAATTGTAAAGGGACCAATGGGAATACAACATCTACGAGTATCCTGCGGACAACTGGAGAGTGAATGATCCTCCTGCTGATCGGGGCGGAATCTGGCAAGAATGGATTCATAAAGATGCGGCTGTTCCTCACGGACAATATCTTGAGGATGACGACGCGGATAACAGCAAGCTGAAGGTGGGTTCATGCAAAATTCTTCGAATGGTAAAATGGGCTGAACAGTGTCAGCTAACGAATACTGGGACTTCCTGCGTTCTAACGCTTCTCCTGTCTGAATGGCTTGATATTCTCCACGCTAGACGAATGCCGTTGCAGCAAGCTAGCCTCACTCAACCTTTCATTAACAAGGCTGTATAGAGTGACATAATACGTACTTGGGATCGCTCTCTTTTTTGATGCCCCATTTCAGCATCAATTAATGTTTGTGCTCGTCGAGCCTGATCCAATGATCCCCCACAAACACGTATCTTCTGCCCTTCACCATGCTGTCTTAAGGCCTCTGGTAGGGGAGGAAGCAGGATCCAGTCATGCTTTTGACCGCAGATATGGCAGCAATACTTCCGCTCCTCTGCAGTGGCAAATACATCATACAGAGTAAGATTTTGTGATAATATTGGCAAATCGAGATATTGCTGATCTCAACGGACCTGCGACACCCCCTGTAAATAATAAACTGTTCGGCCAACTCCTCATCCTTGCCATGGCTGTCATTATTGTATTTAGTGAGCGACATTGTGACTGCGCTGTCCTTGTCACCCACACTGGTGAAGACATCCTCAAGTTGCCAAAATGCCAAATGCCATTCCATCATTCAACGGATCACTGTCGCCTGAGGTCCCCCTTGACTTGTGCGGCGTAGCAGGCCATTGCCCTGATGTTCTGACCAGAAGCTCTGTAGTAATTCCCCATGATTAATCCAACTTCTGAATTAGCCATGAAGTGGTCTGCATGAGGGGATTCTTCCTAGATTCCTGTGGGTCTGTACTCTGACTGACATAGAGAGCCCTTCCCTGCGTGAGTAATTCAGCATCTTGCTGTATCTCCAGCCCTCAACTGTATCAATGCCCACTTTGATAGCCTGAGTTAAGTAGTGAGTCACCAGAAAGTTAGATGCAGTCTCCAGTACAAGGGTAATCTCTCCATCTGATCTTTTCTCACGGTAGGTATGATGACTCCCTCCCATAACCGCGCAGCCCGCAAAGAGTCGTGTCTATAGATCTGGAGAAAGACGCCCCTGTAGAGTTCCAGACTTCGCAGCCTGCATGGTTCTAGCCTGGCGAAATGCAACCTTGGTAGCACTCGTATATGCATTGACTATGTAGGCTGTATTGGACGTGTGGTACGCCTCTACCACCGAGAACCAGTGTGTAAAGGCGTCAAATAGTTCGGAGTGGGTCAACAAACATTCCGATAGGCCTGTGCTGTCAGTCTCTGGAATGATTTCGTGCATTTCCTGTAGCAGGCCCGTGCTCTCCGTGAATCTTCCATCCACGGTCAGATATGCTATGGTTGCAGGAACACAGGTGCTGCACCGGTTGCTGTACCCAAGAGCCTTTCTGTAGAGAGACAATCCCTTCTCAAACTCCCCGAGTTGGTTATAGCAGAGTCCAAGGCCATCTAAGACGTGGTGCACGAACTGGCAAATGTGATGCCCATTCGATGTCGAGGCCGGATTCCCCAGCAAACTCTTGGCAATGTACCGGATAGGGCGGAGGAAAATACCGTGAATACTGCCGGAGGCAAACGAGTCATATCACCCTTTCTCGACCGGTGGTAACGCCTCCTGCATATCGGAACCGGTGAGCCAGGTCATGAACAGGTCCCGTATGTCCTCCAGGAGGGGCACGTCACCGGTAAACATGACAAATCTCGGCATCGCCCACTGGCCAAAAAAGAGCCTTGCAGGATAGATTCCAATGGTCTGTTTGCCTTCTTCGCGGCATTGATGAATATCAATGTCCTTGAGGGCTGGGATGACCGACCTGCTAGCTCTGAACGGGAGTACAGCCGCAATATCGCTTCTTGGGGAGTCTTCCGGGTAAGAGATAAATTCATGGTATCGTTTGATTAGCGTTACTTTCGCCTCATGGAAGCTGACTCCAATCGGTGGACAGCCATCCGCAGATTTGACAGTTCTATTCACTTCTGAAAAGGTCTCCCAGCGAGGCATGCGTTCAGCGTCACGTATGTTGTCTTTGGGTCGGAGTCGAAATCAGGTAGACTGTCCAAGTCTTCGAACACAGTCTCCAGTGATGAGTATCTGCTTCTCCCATATATATTGCTCTCCGTTGAAGTTGTGTCGTCGCCAAGCCATCCTTCCGTTGAGGAGAAGGAGCGAAGCATACTGCCTTCGCAGATCTCACTCGAGCCGGCCTTTCCATTTTCGGCCAATCTGAGCTGCGACGTGAACAGGTAGCCCAGGTGAGCATTTCATTCAGGTCCTCTGCATATTGAGGGGAGTCTTCTAGACTCTCAGATATGTCCTTCAGAACGTGTCGGATCATCTGCGACAGACCGTTCGGTGCTTCATCCAGTGCTTTCCGAATGCTTCCTTCGTCCCGCTTCTTGACGAGCTCTTTGAGCATGAAATCTACCCATATAAACTAAGCTACCTTAGCAACCAGGTGATCACAACAATTTTAACCATCACTTACCATCCTCTGAGGAAGGACTTATTCTCCGTTTCGATGGTTCCTAGGAGGTCTCCCACCGTCCATAATTCCCGCAGTGACGCCAGGTCCAGGGCCTTCTCCGTAATCTGTCCATACTGACTGATCGCTCGCGTCCAGATCTGGGGGGCCTGATCGTGAGACATACTGTTAAGGTAGTCGACGTTCGGAAGATGATTACGCAGAAGAAATATGGACTCCATCTATTTGCCGATTCCGCTGGGTTCAGGAGTCGATATTCTACCTAAGCTAGACGGGCAATAGCGTCAGGCTAGTGACATCAAATTAATTCTAACACCAAGGCTGTTAGCAAGGGCCTGCTGATATAGCCCAATCTGAAGTCCTGATCACAGCCGAAGCCAGGATGGGCTTACCTCCAACAAGCTCGCGACTGCGCGGCTTACATTGCTTGTCATGTCCACCTGCATCTACGCCAACCAACTCTGATTTGACCAGGCTAGTACGCTTCCTGCATGAATCTTTTGGGTTCTCGCATTCTTGTGTTTATATACTCCAGTAGATAGAGCAATAGTTTGTCGCTTTGAACGAGGAAATGTCTTCCAGATGTGATCTATATACAGTCTAGGCGTCAGATAGACTCCAGCAGACGTGAATCTGGTCATTTCTGTCGGCAGAACAAACCTCTATAGGCTCTTCCCCGGCTCCCATGTCCTCTCCTTCTGCCGATCTTCATTTCGTCGACCGGCCTGGGCAGCCGTTCAAGGCCATCAGGCACTCCTCGTTCCTCACTGCAGTAATTCTCCCTGTTAGATTGCCATTTTAATAGATGAACAATTGTAGAAATGCTGCCAAACCTTGGATTGGTCAACTAAGTGTCAATAATAGCCATGATCTCATCGGAATGTTCCGCAGTCACGTGGATGAAAATATATTTTCCTTCCTGCCCTGCTACGTACTCCGTACTTGCTTTCTAATCGCCTTCTAATTTATACACACTACTTTTGTCAGTACTCATATATGAAATAAATAGTAATTAAATCTCTGTTTATTACGCCGAAGACACAGATAAATTAAGGAAGCACCTGGAAGAAAAGTGAAATCATAGTAGAGCAAGTTGAGCGCCATCATGCCATATCTAAAGTTTGCAGTCGTATTTCTGGAACAGCCGAAGGATTCTGCCCCCGTCATCTGGTTTTAGTGTTACATCGGCCAAACTCTAAAGAATTTAAGGCTTAGGCTTAAGACAGGTAGGCAGCAGTTGAGAGAGAAAGGAATCATGAGCCCTGGAGGCGCAAATGATAGATTGATAATCTTGACAAATGAAACGCGGAGTCCCCAACTTCGTCACCGGTTTCCTCTAGATTCCAGAATCATTTCAGTCTCAATAGACGACGGATACCCGATATCGGTCCGGGTGGCCAATTTTTGAACGGAGAAGATCCATCCAATGATCTTTTGGACGAATGGGACCTGCTGTCCAACTCCGAAGCCAAGCTTTGTGGTGGGTCTTGGTCAATTTTCATTATGTATAGAGAATCCAAAGTATGGGGCGACGGAGAACTTCGCCTCACACCGGGGTGGATCGGCACCTCAGTACGGAGTAATGAAAACTTAGTTGTCGAGTCATATATCAGTAAGACGATCCGCCCTGAACTCCATTCACTCTCTTCAAAGCTTGTTGCGCCTTTGTCCAGTCTCTCTTGCCTCCCTTGCTAGTGATCAGATTGAAACACCATGGAGGCCATCAACGCGAACCCTCCCGCATACAGGACTGAGAAAGTCGAAGAGACCAAGTACACATCGGACTATGAGGAGGAGGGCCAACTCAAGACTGGTCAGGTTGCAGATGCCTTTGGAAACGAGGAGTCTGCAGAGATCAAGTATAAGACGTTGAAGTGGTGGTATGTGTTGGACAATCTCACCAGTGGGCTTGGATCTTTGCTGACCGTTGCTTTTTCGTTACTCTAGGCAATGCGGCTTGCGTACGAGATTTCCTCGATGTGATCGTCATTTCGGCCTCTAACATTGTTTGATATAGTCATGATCTGTGAATCTGTGTCGCTTGGTGTGCTATCCCTGCCGGCTGCTGTGGCTACTCTGGGTCTTGTCCCGTAAGTGCTTCAATAGCGAAGGTTGTAGTTATTGCCGTTACTGACACGCTTGCAGAGCTGTCATCCTGATTGTCGGTCTTGGTCTGCTCGCAACCTACACTGGATACAATATTGGGTTATTTAGAGAGAGATATCCTAAAATCCAGAACCTTGGGGATGCCGGAGAGATCCTAATGGGCCCTATTGGCCGGGAAATCTTCGGTCTGGGTCAATTCTTATTTTTTATCTTCGTCATGGGGAGCCATATCCTGACTTTTCGGGTCATGATGAACACTATCACTGAGCATGGCACCTGCTCGATCGTCTTTAGTGTCGTTGGCATGGTTATTTCCATGGTCCTCTCGATCCCCCGTACCATGAAGGGGTTGACCTGGATTTCGTTTGCATGTGAGTAGTCCATTGAGGTCACTTGGAAGTAGAACGCGAGTTTGGTACTAACCCATATCTTACAGCGTTCCTCAGCATTTTTGGCGCCGTCATGATCACCATGATCTCTGTCGGTGTGCAAGATCACCCCCACCGCATTATCGAGGCGACTGTCGACACCACTCTCTACTCCGGATTCCAGGCTGTTTCCAACATAGTTTTTGCCTACTGCGCCCACGTTGCCTTTTTCGGCCTGATCGCCGAAATGGAAAACCCCAGAGATTTCAAGAAGTCGCTGTTCATGCTTCAATCCTTTGAGATTTGCTTGTATCTCACTGCCGCCGTGGTGATTTACTACTTTGTCGGCAAAGACGTAGCATCACCGGCTCTGATCTCTGCAGGACCTGTGATGAAGAAGGTCGCTTTCGGCATTGCTATTCCTACAGTGCGTCTTATTTTCTTTGGCTACCGGAGCATGCATGCTAACTGAGTTTTAGATTGTTGGAGCTGGTGTGGTCAATGGTCACGTCGGTCTCAAATACATCTATTTCCGTCTTTGCCATAAGTCGGATCTGATCCACAGCCGTAGCAAACGCTCTGTCGGGATCTGGATCGGTCTCGGTCTGACTTGCTGGGTTGTCGCCTGGGTCATTGCAGAGGCCATTCCCGTGTTCAGTGACCTGAACGGCTTGATAGTAAGTCAAGTTTTATCCCCCGGTTCGTTTGAGACCTATGCTAACTAAGCTGTAGAGCGCGCTCTTCGCCAGTTGGTTCAGCTATGGGCTCAGTGGTATCTATTGGCTTCATCTGAACTATGGGCACTGGTTTGCCAGCCCTCGTAAGATTTTGCTCACCATCCTCAACATCTCCATTGCCCTGTTCGGTCTGGCCCTCTGTGTCTTGGGCTTATATGCATCAGGCACGGCCATCCATAATGATACCAGCAGCAGCAGCTTCAGCTGTGCCAATACGGACGCTTAGTCCGTTTTTTGTAAATAGCTAATTGTAAATAGACATGTCCATTTGACACTTTTGTATAGAGCCATGATTTTCTATACTTATACATCAGCCTCCTAACCTCTAGTGAAAGTTCCGTAAGATCTGTTTCGATACGGCGGTCATGAGGGAACATTAGCGTCATGGTTCTCCAATCTACAAGATCTGCTATTTACGAGAGTTTGACGTGGAGCGGATCGTGTTCCTGTCCGCCAACTTGTTCTGCTCCAATGGAGACATTAGAGGTTGGGTGATGGGTAGGATAGCCCCAGGGCTTCGTCTGCGGCCGTTCCCACAGCTGAACTGTAGTGGTAACGAAAGTTCAGCGTGATGATCTGCCCAACTGTCGTACCGTATTTCTCCTCTGGGGTCCTTGAACACGCCGTAGGTGAATTCAAATGCTGTAATGGTGAAAACACTGCGCGTACATTGGGGGACATTGATATACGTGTTAGCTGGCAGGACCTCGTCTGGCGAAGACAGACTGAAGATTTCTCTGCGTTTTCTGTCCATAGCGAGCCCACTGTGATGCTCAACTTATACAGGGCGACTCGGCTGATGGTGTCATTGGTGGCAGTGGTATAGTCAAGACGGCCACCATAGATGCAGGTTGCAGTAACGTTCTGAGCTTGTACGACGCACGTGTCATTGCCTGGGTTTCTGGCTGCATCCGGCATGATCAGAGAGAACCCAGGGAAGAGGTATTCCGCGTCCATCATCCGATTGGCGCGCGTGATATCGCAGACACCGCGACCAAGTTTGGCCGCAATGCTGAAGATGCTATCACCCTCCAGAACCGTCTAATAGAGAGGAGTGTTGGACGCCTGTCGGGGCGCCACATGAGGCACGGATAGAGCACAGGCTGCACAAGCCAGTGAGGAGAGTACTGCCATAATCAATGGGACTCTGGGTGCCTTCTGGCTTACCGTTTCATCCATACCTGCGCCCAGGCATCGATGGCAACTTCATATCTCCCATGGGTTAGAGGCGCATTGAGTGCTTCTCCAGAGACTATGTAGCGCGATGCGGGGAGTGCTCTGTGGTGTCTTACCAAATTCAATAGTGAAGCCCGACATTATACCGGATGTCTTTAAGTGTTGGCGAGTGTACTTATAATGTTTATCCAGGCTACTTGCATCCTGTATATATCCCGCAAATGAAAGAAGAGGACCTGAACTGTGTGTGCACATATACTCCGATTTTGAATGTTGAAGGTGCTGGGGGCGCAATGGCCTTGATCACATTTCACACTGCAATGAAGGAGTTGTTACTGGGCTAGTTGATGGCGAGGTTTTCGTTGAAAAATCGATAGGAATAACCCCAGAACGGGTATAGATCTCTGGTCATGTTGGAGTACCGAGCCGGCAATACCGTCCGTGACGACTCGGGGTTGGCGCGGAATCTCAGTATTACTTGGGTGCTAGTGATTGGAGGCATTATTTGGAGATAAGCACATATTCGTTTCGCCTTTAAGCGTCTGACGGCTAGGCCTCTATATTGGAGGCTTAACCCTAAGGGCTCTCTGGAGGCTATGGAAAAACTAAGGCGTCATCATCACGAAAATGGTGTCAACTGATGCTATACCTGGAACACAATAAAGAGTGACATGGATAAGAGTGATCGTCTTCCGAGAATATCTCCGAAGTCTGTCATTTTCCTAGGTTCACGTATGAAAGTACCTATGATCCCACGGGTAGATGAGTCGAAAGTCAGGCCTTGTGGCTTGCCCTAGGTAATCGTTATAACAAATACGCAAACTATAAAGCCATATGTAACGTCTAGGATGCCCTACAGACTGCCAGCAACAACTGCAATATACCAACCACAAGCGCACCAACATTGAAGATGATAGCCAATGTTAGCACGATCCTTCCCCTACTGCCTTTGTTGGCCATGGCAATGCCTTCGACAACAGAAATGGCCATCAACAAACGATCAGTCACCTGTCTGAAAGTTGGCGCTGTTGCTACAGCCACTTGGATCAATAGTGCCGGGCGGAGCTGTTCCTTCGTCGGGGTGGTCGGAAGCAATTATGGCACCAACAGTGCTGGAACAGGAGAGTAAGTTTAAGCTGCACTTTGCTGAGGCGTCTTAGACGCAGTCGGGCTAATCGGACAAATCTATCAGTTATTCCTGTAATGGCCGATGTGGCGGAGGATGCACGGGCACTGCACTTGGCAATGCGTATACCCAAGACTGCTTCTCCCATGATATCTGCTCCTATTTTAACAATGCCAGCGGAGGGTCAAGGTGTGTCAGCATTGATGAACTCCGACTGCACGAACACCTATACTAATGCTATTCTAGTGATCCGAACTGCGGAGCTGCTTATGATGCTGCAGTGGATGATTTTCTTCTTGGTGTTGCAGATGGATGCTCGCAGACAAATCCAGCTTTGGCAGTCTCAAAACCAAGTTCGACTCCTGTCTGTACATAGAGCTCACTTTTAGCCTTTTAAGGGCCTTGGTTGGACTCTGCGTCTCCAGATGTAGCCAGTCTGCTACCAAATCATTAGGAATGTTTATGGGTATGTGTATCTCTCGTGCATAATACAATTGTTTCAATGGATCATCGGGTCACATTATGATTTGGACCCAACATTAGTAATATCGAGACAAGTATCAATAGAAATTTTGAAAACTTCTGACAGCCTCAGTGCCTTTCATTCCTCTGATCAGACAACCATCACGTACTAAAGAACTATGACAGGCCAAGGAGGATCACGGATTGTAAACAGGCATTGCTGGAGACTTTCCGGCCAAAATATCGGTACTCTTGCTAGGAAGAAACTTGGCCTCCTTTCCTGCTCGCTCAGCACCCTGAGCCTGGACCTTCACCTGGCTGAAATCAAACTTCTGCTCCGGGAGAAGATCATAGACGCCCTTTGCGTACTCCGGAGCAATGCAGTACAGCTGTGCTAGGTATTTGAGTTGAATTTCGGGATACTCAACCACCTTGAGCATGCGTGCAGTGTTGGAATGAAGATGCTCCCTTGCTCGAGCATCCATGACCTTTTGGTATAGAGCACGCGGCTGGTCATACTCCGACGACTTCCCTTCGTGGTAGAAGTGAGACTTGCGGCTCACAGTGTTATCTGCCAGCTGGTAGGGCGCCTCGGCAGTATCCGGTCTGAACTTGTGCACGAAACTGTTGGGCGTGTATTGAGGATTCATCGCGTGATTTGCATCCACTCTCAATGGACCATCGAAGTTGAGTGAAGAGTAGGACGAGGCCATGAATGGGCAGTTCACTATGTGTGTTAATTGGGATCCCTCGTATGAGAAGATTTTACATACCAGGTACTTGATGCAGATTGACACCAATCCGGTGATACTGTGCGTCACGATAGAAGAACATGCGGAACTGCAGCAGAGGATCCGGGCTGTCCTCAATTCCCGGCACCATGCTTCCAGGAGAGAAGGCGGCTTGTTCCACGTCTCGGTGGAAGTTCTCGGGGTTCTTGTTCAAGACCAGCTTGCCAAATTCATGCAACTGTCGATGTAACGAGTCAGTGATGATATCCCGGGGCTCAATCCAGGTGTTGTACGTACCGGGAACTGGTTCTTGGGCCACACCTTGGTGACATCGAATGGATCAAATCCCAATTTGGCCGGGTCAGCTTCCTCTGGCTTCATCATCTGGACGTGCGCCGTCCAGCTGATCTTTTCGCCCTTTTCAATGGCCCGATAGAGGTCACGCTTTGAGAAGTCCGGATCCTCACCACAAATCTGGATGGCTTCCTCGGCAGTGAACTGCTTTTGTCCGTGATCTGCGATGAAATGGTATTTGATATACACGAACTCTCCATTCTTGTTAACCCTGGAGACGTCGTCAGTATGTATACCGTCTGATCATGATCTCTACCTACCACTTGAATGTGTGACATCCGTATCCATGTTGGTTACGCCACCCCACAGGCGTGCCGTGGTCGCTGAAAAACATCATGCCCGCATGGTTTCTATTATCCGTTAGTGTTTGGGTTTCGATAATATCCATGGCTCGCTCACCCTTCGGGAGTATTTGCGAGCAGATCGAACAGGGAGTTGTAGTCCAACAGGAAGTTCTGCGGATTCCGATACTGGGAGCGAATAACATCGGGGCCTTGAATGGGATCACGACAGAAGAACACGGGCTGTATCGCCGATGTTAGTCGCTGGCTTGCGCGGAGATTTGGGTAGGCATACAAAGTTCAATCCCACAATGTCATAGTTTCCCTCACCAGTGTAGAACTTGATGGCGAAGCCCCGTGGATTTCTCGCCTCGTCAGGGAACTCTCGGCCCAGAGTCACAGTCGAGAAGCGGACAAAGACTGGAGTTTTCACGCCAGCAGACCTCAGGAAATGCGCCTACAATATCAACAATCTGCGTTTGCTCCCTATAGCCTGTATGGGGGTAGCTCACTTTAGTCAGTGACGATACGTCTTTGGTGGTCTCGAAATAACCGAATGCTCCACTGCCACCTTGACATCGTTAGCTCGAGTGACAATGGATGGTTCACAGTGATAACTTACAAGGGTGGACCATCCGCTCGAGTGGCTTCGAGCGATTGAAGTGCTGCTGCTTTTGGAACAGAAAGGTATCGGACGCTACGGGTATGCCTCCTGCAGTCTTACTGTGGGCTGGGTCAGGAAACGGAATAGCTTCATTGTTCGTAAAGTACGGTCCATCATCCGCTCTCTTCCCTGCAGCTTGGACACCGGTCAACTTAGCTGCAGTCTTTGCCGGCCCATCGTTGGCGCCCTGGAACAAGGAAGAAAGCTGCATAGGGCGAGGATCAGCTCCCGCCGCCCCGACGGCCTCGCCTATCGCCTGAAGAGGATGGGATGCCATTGCAAGTATTCAAATTATCTCTGGTCTTACCAATTTGATCACATAGTGTTGTGCTGGAGATGAACCCGTTATACATGAATATATACTTATTGCTCGTCATCATATTGACTCGGTAGCTTCCGTTGCTCCACAAATAATGGGATCAGCATGACGTTCGCCCGTGATCGCATGCAGTAACGAAGGAAATCATGATTCAATACTGGTTCATGCCGGAAATTAGTATTGATTAAGCAGGAATTGAGTCAATTGAAGTGAAATGGCAGTCCTCTTTGGGAAACAGCCAAGTTGATGGAAGCATTACCCGCGCAATGGTCATATCATCGTTAGTGTCGCTCGGTCAGTATGGTAACATTAATGCTCTGACAGACTCCCAGACCAAGATAATTCGATTCGTTCTAGATCTGGATAAACTTGAATTTCCCTGATACTATGCCTGACCGATACGGATTGCTCCTCATCTATTATAGGTAGATCCGGTTCCCATCCCAACCAATTATCAGCCAGAATCAATAGCGTCATGGGTACTACTACCTTAGGAGACATGTCCAACGGCTAAAGCAGCCTTGAAAAATTGCTTTTAGTGAAGCAGGATTTGGTGGACAAAACCAAGCTTAAATGCCATAGGAAATAGCCGCACTGACCATGTTGTTGCTAGCAGTTATTGGACTTGTCTATGCTTTTCCGTGCTTCAACCCCAGATAAAGTCGTCGAGCCTCAAGTTTTAACCTCTGATTTTGGATCTCAAATACCGAACTTGTTCCCTCTCGGCGCTTGAAGCAGGCTGAGATGGTTATTGACGTTCTGTCACGCTTTTTGTTACAATGCAAAAAGGAATCAATTTTTGTGTTAGTTGGCTAATTATCGTGCTAGTACAGCCCATGATGTTATTCCCATCTTCTTTACCCAATGCAATGTCATTAATCATTAAAATGTCGCTGGACGCGGGGTCAGTTCGCAGCGTCCCACAATGCGTAGCCCCATTCCCAACCAGCGCAGTGTCCGAATGTCCGGACTTGAGCATCTCCAGATTCGCCAACCGCCGGTCTGAGAGCGAAGATCTCAGAACCGGCCACATCCCGACCGTGCCAGTGCTGCTTCCAACCAGGATTGGGCTGGTCGATGGCCGGCATCGCCCGCAGCCCTTGCAGCGTCCCATCGTTTGTGCGTCTTTCTACGGTCCAGAGTTGGGGCGAGGGATCCCGGACGACCCGTACTGTGTCCATGAAGGAGGACTTGGAGGATATGGCGTTGCATGCCAACAAGCGCCAGCGATCTTCCCGGCTGTTCTGGGACAGGACCTTGTGTAGGAAAGTAGGACCCAAGAGGACGAGATGATTCAAGTAGATGTTATAATCATTTGCATCGTCTATGTGCCTGTCAGCATTGGAGACATGGGTACCTCAGATGGAAAAGAAACATACCAGAAGAACTGGGATATAGCTCCCATGGATCGGCCGGCAGTGAAGCTGGTCTCAGCGACCTCCACCGACTATCTGTGCGAGGAAACTCCTGCTGGATTTCGTCGAACATGCGCTTGTATTCGTTCCGCACGAGAACCCAAACCGATCCAAACTCCTCCACCTCCCACGGAGCCATGGAGCCGAAACAAAGCCGCCACATTTCGTGGATAGTGAAGTTTTTGTACCAGGTGGAAGACGTCCGCTTGCACGTCGACATCGACGACTTGCAGATGTCGTCGGCCGGCTCGGTCCACTCTCGTGTGCCAAAGACGTTGCAATATGTTTGTAACCGGCACAGCGCTCGCAATATCCGTGCTTTTTCCGTTGGTGAGAGTCGCAAGGGAGCGGATTGCTGCCGTGGAAGGGGTTCGGCTTGGCTCGGACGTCTCGCATGCGAGCAAAGGGAGTTCAATAGTGTCTGGAACTTTTGATGAAGGTGAAGAAGGTCGATACTATCGGAGGGGTTCAGCTTGCTGGGGACTGAATCGGAAACGCGCTGGCGATCGAGAACCTCGATGATTCTCTGTTTGTTGGCTGAGTCCTCAGCATGGAGACCGGCAGATTGAATTGCAATAAGAGGTTCTTCCAGCCCAACTGCGCCATAGTGTTCTCGTACCAGGCGATCGAGAATGCTTCTTTGGGACAAACGGTAGGTGCTCCGGTATGCGGCGGAAACTCGGATAAGATCGTGGAGGGTCTCAACATCTGGCATAGACTTCAGGATGTGAATCTTGAGCTCTGCTGGAAGAGTTTCTAACGCCATGATTGTATCGAAGTGCGGGAGAGGATAAGAGTGACGCAGGATGATGCAACCTGATTGATCATGTTATGCAATCGGAGCTGTAGTTGTACCTTGGAATAGAGGAAGAAACCCCGGGTATATAAAACAAGTCATAGCTGTTAATGTCTGGATTTCGGTGTCGAATCACACTACTCCTTCTTCCCATTCAAGCGCAGAATTCTGGGGTAAAGAATTCCCGCTGATGGCTTGCTGCTATTCTTGCTCTCCAGTCTCCCCACAAAGCAACTAAAATGAGCGAATGCTGGGGCCGAGGATATCCAGCGCTCCACCGGGAATGACGGCAGCCAGGAGGCGGTCATACCGGAATTGGTGCTGATAGGCTCATCCTCTCAGCAGGGGCTTTATTGTTAGGTAAGAT